GAAAACTTCAGGCCAATATCCATGATGAACATAGATGCAAAAATCTTCAATAAAATATTGGCAAGCCGATGCAAATCAAAAAACTTATTCATATGATTAAGTAGGATTCATCCCAGGGATGCAAGGCTGGTTCAACATACGCAAGTCTATCAACATAATTCACCACATAAACAGAACCAAAAACAAAAACCACATGATTATCTCAATTGACGCAGAGAAGGCATTTGACAAAATTCAACAGCCCTTTATGCTAAAAACCCTCAATAAACTCGGTATCGATGGAACGTATCTCAAAGTAATAAAAGCTATTTATGACAAACCAACAGCCAATATCATACTGAATGGGCAAAAACTGGAAGCATTCCCTTTAAAATCTGGCACTAGACAAGGATGCCCTCTCTCAGCACTCCTATTCAATATACTACTGGAAGTTCTAGCCACAGCAATCAGGCAAGAAAAAGAAATAAAGTGTATTCAAATAGGAAAGGTGGAAGCCAAATTGTCTCTATTTGCAGACGACATGATAGTATACCTAGAAGACCCCATTGCCTCAGCCCAAAAACTGATAAGCAACTTCAGCAAAGTCTCAGGATATAAAATCAATGTGCAAAAATCATAAGCATTCGTCTACACCAATAACAGACTTAAAGACAGCCAAATCAATAGCGAACTGCCATTTTCAATTGCTACAAAAAGAATAAAATACCTTGGAATACAACTCACAAGGAACGTAAGGGACCTCTTCAAGGAGAACTACAAACCACTGCTCAACGAAATCAGAGAGGACACCAACAGATGGAGGAACATTCCATGTTCATGGTTAGGAAGAATTAACATCGTGAAAATGGCTATACTGCCCAAAGTAATTTACAGAATCAACACTATCCCCATCAAGCTACCGTTGACTTTCTTCACAGAACTGGAAAAAACCACCATGAACTTCATATGGAACCGAAAGAGAGCCCGCATAGCCAAGTCAATTCTAAGCAAAAAGAACACAGCGGGGGGCATCACACTACCGGATTTCAAACTATACTACAAGGCTACAGTAATCAAAAGCATGGTACTGGTACCAAAACAGAGATATAGACCAATGGAACAAAACAGAGGCACCGGAGGCAACACAACATACATACAACTATACAATCTTTGATAAACCTGACAAAAACAAGCAAGGGGGAAAGGATTCCCTGTTTAACAAATGGTGTTGGGAAAACTGGCTAGCCATGTGCAGAAAGCAGAAACTGGACCCCTTCCTGACACCTTACACTAAAATTAACTCCAGATGGATTAAAGACTTAAACATAAGACCTGGCACCATAAAAACCCTAGAAGGAAATCTAGGCAAAACCATCCAGGACATAGGAGTAGGCAAGGACTTTATGAACAAAACACCAAAAGCATTGGCAACAAAAGCCAAAATAGACAAATGGGACCTAATGAAACTCCACAGCTTCTGCACGGCAAAAGAAACAGTCACTAGAGTGGATCGGCAACCAACAGAATGGGAAAAGATTTTCGCAGTCTACCCATCTGACAAAGGGCTGATATCCAGAATTACAAAGAACTCCAACAGATTTACAGGAAAATAACAAACAAGCCCATTCAAAAGTGGGCAAAGGATATGAACAGATACTTTACGAAAGAAGACATATATGAGGCCAACAATCATATGAAAAAATGCTCATCGTCACTGGTCATCAGAGAGATGCAAATCAAAACCACATTGAGATACCATCTCATGCCAGTTAGAATGGCGATCATTAAAAAATCTGGAGACAACAGATGCTGGAGAGGATGTGGAGAAAAAGGAACACTTTTACACTGTTGGTGGGAGTGTAAATTAGTTCAACCATTGTGGAAGACAGTGTGGCGATTCCTCAAGGCCTTAGAAATAGAAATTCCATTTGACCCAGCAATCCCATTACTGGGTATATATCCAAAAGACTATAAATCGTTCTACTATAAGGACACATGTACACGAATGTTCATTGCAGCACTGTTTACAATAGCAAAGACCTGGGAAAAATGTGGCACATATACACCATGGAATATTATGCAGCAATCAGAAATGATGAGTTCGTGTCGTTTGTAGGGACATGGATGAATCTGGAAAACATCATCCTCAGCAAACTGACACAAGAACAGAAAATGAAACACCGCATATTCTCACTCATAGGTGGGTGATGAAAAATGAGAACACATGGACACAGAAAGGGGAGTACTAAACAGTGGGGTCTATTGGGGGGAAAAGGGGAGGGCCAATGGGAGGTGGAGGTGGGGAGGGATAGCCTGGGGAGAAATGCCAAATGTGGGTGAAGGGGAGAAGAAAAGCAAAGCACACTGCCATGTGTGTACCTACGCAACTGTCTTGCATGCTCTGCTCATGTACCCCAAAACCTATAATCCAATAAAAAATTTAAAAAATAATAATTTTAAAAAAGTAGAAAAAAAAATCACAAAATCAGACAAATTGGTGTGCTCAATCTGAACAAACGAGGTGCCAGGTGCCCGCCTTTGTGTATGATGTACTGCTTTTCTCCTGTCACCCGGGCTGAAGTGAAACACTGCGATCTCAGCTTATTCCCACAACTGCATAGCGGGTTCCAGCGGCCGTTCTGCCAATGCCTTTCAAGTGACTGTGGTTGAATATGTCAACACCACCTAGAACAGACAACTTTCCGTTTTTGTGAACCTAAAATCTATCTGTATTTGATTTGTACAGAACAGTTACAATGGCAAAACTAAATGAATAAATAGAAAACGGAACGCTGTGCAGCATTTCATCCTTGCACTGAGGCCTTTTTGGGCTTCTATGTAGAGTCCCAATTTTAGTTGACGTGCTGCTGAAGCGAGCCCATGCCGAGCCTGGCTCAGCTCTTTTATGTCTTTCGGTTTTTATGTGGTTTATACCAAGCAGATAGCGCTGTGTCGGTCGACGCTTGTCTCGAATCTGTAATCTCACTGTCCGCCCGGCTCGACATTCCACATGCGTTGAGCCTAACCCAAGCTTTGTTTCCGTTCTGAGGACGGAGATTTCCCATATTGGTGGAGGCGGGTCTCAAACACGCATCCTTGAAATATTTTTAGCTCTGGTCTTGGAAGCGTTTAAATGACAGGTTTCTGTTAGCCACCATACCTGGCAGGCCGAGTTTCATGTTAACAAGAAAGAACGGAGAGACGTTGCCCAGCACTGTGAGTAACACCAGCTATTCTAGCCATTTGGGAGGTCGAGGTGTGCGGTTCACCTGAGGTCACCAGTTCCAGGTCAACCTGGGCATTTTGGTGAAACCCAGTTCCCATAAAAAAACAAAAGTAGAAAAGAAAATCACAAAAATCAGACAAATTGGTGTGCTCAATCTGAACAAACGAGGTGCCAGTTGGCTCCAAACCCCACCCCGCCTTTCCCAATGACGTACTGCTTTCTCCTGTCACCCGGGCTGGAGTGAAACACTGCGATCTCGGCTTATGTCAGCGGCCGTTCTGCTGATGCCTTTCAAGTAACTGTGGGTGAATACGTCAACACCACCTGGAACAGACAACTTTCTGTTTATTTTTGTGAAACTAAAATCTATCTGTATTTGATTTGTACAAAACAGTTACAACAGCATAACTAAATAAATAAATAGAAAACAGAATGATGTGTAGCGTTGCATCCTTGCACTGAGGCATTTTCGGGCTTCTATGTAGAATCCCAATTCTAGTGTACATGCTGCCGAAGCAAGCACATGCCGTGCCAGGCTCCACTTTGTTATTTCTTTCGGTTTTTATGTGGTTTATAACAAGCGGGTAGCGCTGTGTCTGTAGAGGCCCGTCTCGAATCTGTAATCTCACTGTCCACCCGGCTCGACATTCCACGGTTATGAAATTACAGGTGTGATGCGCCGAGGCTAACCCACGTTTTTCTTTGTTCTGGAGACGGAGATTTCCCGTCTCTGTTGGGCGGGGTTTTTTGCGCTGGTCTTCGAAGTGTTTAAATGACAGGTTTCTGTGAGCCACCGTACCTGGCAGGCCCAGTTTCATGTTAACAAGAAAGATCTGAGAGATGTCGGCCAGCACTGTGAGTAACACCAGCTATCCTAGCCATTTGGGAGGTCGAGGTGGGCGGTTCACCTGAGGTCACGAGTTCCGGGTCAGCCTGGGCATCTTGGTGAAAACCCACTTCACTTAAAAAAAAAGAAGTAGAAAAAGAAAATCACAGAAATCATACAAATTGGTGTGCTCAATCTGAACAAAATGTGGTGCCAGGTGGCTTCAACCCCCACCCCGCCTTTCTGTATGACGCACTGCTTTTCTTCTGTCACCCAGGCTGGAGTAAATCACTCCTATCTCGGCTTATTACCACAACAGTATAGTGGGTTCCAGCGGCCGTTCGGTCGAATCCTTTCAAATAACTGTGGTTGAATATGTCAACACCACCTGGAACAGACAACTTTCTGTTTATTTTTTTGAACCTAAAATCTATCTGTATTTGATTTGTACAAAACAGTTACAACAGCCAAACTAAATGAATAAATAAGAAATGGAATGATGCCTAGAATTTGATTCTTGTGCTGAGGCCTTTTCGGGGTTCTATGTGGAGTCCCAATTTTAGTGTATGTGCTGCCACCTCGACCTCCCAAATGGCTAGGATAGCTGGTGTTACACACAGTGCTGAACAACGTCTCTTCATTCTCTCCTGTTAACATGAAACTCGGCCTGCAGGTACTGTGGCTCACAGGAACCTGTCATTTTGGCACTTCGAAGACCAGCGCAAAAAATATTTCGAGGATGCAATTTAGAGAAATAGCCGACAAATATGGGAAAACTTCGTTTTTAGAATGGAAAAAAACTTGGGTTAGACTCGGTGCATCACACCTGTAATCCCATGACAGTGGAATGCCCAGCCGGGCGGACAGTGAGATCACATGTTCGAGACGGGCCTCGACCGACACAGCGCCACCCGCTTATAAACCACATAAAAACCGAAATAAATATAAAAGCTTAGCCGGGCACAGCATGTGCTCGCTTCGGCAGCATGTACACTAAAATTGGGACTCTACATAGAAGACTGAAAAGGCCTCAGCGCAAGGATGAAACACTACACAGCGTTTCATTTTCTATTTATTCATTTAGTTTTGCCATTGTTACTGTTTTGTCCAAATCAAATACCGATAGATTTTAGGTTCACAAATATAAACAGGAAGCTGTCTGTTTCAGGTGGTGTTGATATATTCAACCACAGTTACATGAAAGCCATCGGCAGAAGGGCCGCTGGAACACACTATGCAGTTGTGGTAATAAGCCGAGATCGCAGTGTTTCACTCCAGCCCAGCAGACAGGAGAAAAGCCGTACGTCATACAGAAAGGCGAGGTGGGGTTGGAGCCACCTGGCACTTCGTTTTTTTCAGATTGAGCACACCAATCTGTCTAATTTCTGTGAAGTTCAGTTTAAAGTGATGTGGGTTTTCACCGAGATGCTCAAGCTGACCCAGAACTCGTGACCTCAGGTGAACCGCCAACCTCGACCTCCCAAATGGCTAGGACAGCTGGTGTTACTCACAGTACTGGGCAACGTCTCTTTGTTCTCTCTTGTTATCATGAATCTCAGCCTGCCAGGCACGATGGCTCACAGGAGCTTGTCATTTAGGTGCTTCGAAGAACACCGCAAAAAAATATGTTGAGGATGCGTGTTCAAGACCCGCCCAACCGATATGGAAAATCTCCGTCTTCACAACGAAAACAAAACTTGGGTTAGGCTCGGTGCATCACACGTGTAATCCCATGACAGTGGTATGTCCAGCCGGGTGGACAGCGAGATCACAGATTCGAGATGGGCCTCGACCGACACAGCACTACCCGCTTGCTATAAACCACATAAAAACTGAAAGAAATAAAAAAGCTGAGCCGGGCACGGGATGTGCTTGCTTCAGCAGCACGGACTCTACCCAGAAGCCCGAAAAGGCCTCAATGCAAAGATGCAACACTACGCATCCTTCCTTTTTCTATTTAGTTATTTAGTTATGCTGCTGTAACTGTTTTGTACAAATAAAATACAAATAGATTCTAGTTTCACAAAAATAAACAGAAAGTTGTCTGTTCCAGGTGGTGTTAACATATTCAACCACATTTACTTGAAAGGCATAGGCAGAACGACCGCTGAAACCCACTATGCAGTTGTGGCCTGAAGCCGAGATTGCAGTGTTTCACTCCAGCCCGGGTGACAGGAGAAAAGCACTACATCATACAGAATGGCAGGGTGGGAGTTGGAGCCACCTGGCACCTCGTTTTGTTCTAATCGAGCACAACAATTTGTTTGATTTCTCTGATTTTCTTTTTCTACTTTTTTCTTTAAGTGAAGTGGGTTTTCAGCCAGATGCCCAGGCTGACCCGGAACTCGTGACCTCAGGTGAACCACCCAACTCGACCTCCCAAATGCTATGATAGCTGGTGTTACTCACCGTGCTGGGCAACATCTCTCCATTCTCTCTCGTTAACATGAAACTCGGCCTGCCAGGTACAGTGGGTCACAGAAACCTGTCATTTAGGCGCTTCGAAGACCAGCGCAAAAAAAATTTTGAGGATCCATATTCGAGACCCATTCGACCCATATGGGAAATCTCCATCTTCAGAATGGAAACAAATCTTGGGTTAGGCTCGACTAATCGCACCTGTAATCCCATGACAGTGGAATCTCAAGCCAAGCGGACAGTGAGATCACAGATTCGAGATGGGTCTCGACCGACACAGCGCTACCCGCTTGCTATAAACCACATAAAAACCGAAAGAAATAACAAAGATGAGCCAAGCACGGCATGTGCTCACTTCGGAAGGACGTACACTAAAATTGGGACTCCACATAGAAGCCCGAAAACGTTTCAGCACAAGGATGAAACGCTACGCAGCATTCCGTTTTCTATTTATTCATTTACGTTGTAACTCTTTTGTACAAATCAAATACAGATAGATTTTAGGTTAACAAAAATAAACAGAAAGCTGTCTGTTCCAGGTGGTGTTGACATATTCAACCACAGTTACTTGAAAGGCATCGGCAGAACAACCGCTGGAACCCACTATGCAGTTGTGGCAGTAGGTCGAGATTGCAGTGTTTCACTCCAGCCCTGGTGACAAGAGAAAAGCAGTACGTCATACAGAAAGGCGGGTTGGGGTTTGGAGCCACCTGGCACCTCGATTTTTTCAGATTGAGCCCACCAATTTGTCTAATTTCTGTGATTTTGTTTTTCTTCTTCTTTTTAAGTGTAGTGGGTTTTTGCTGAGGTGCCCAGGCTGACCCGGAACTCATGAACTCAGGTTAACCGCCCAACTCGACCTAACAAATAGCTAGGATAGTTGGTGTTACTCTCAATGCTGGGCTAAGACTCTCTGTTCTCTCTTGTTAACATGAAACTTGTCCTAACAGGTATGGCACAGGATACTGTCGTTTTCAAAGCTTCGAAGACCAGTGTGAAAAAAATTTCGAGGATGCGTGTTCGAGATCCACTCAACTGATATGAAAAATCTCCGTCTTCAGAATGGAAAAAAAACTTGGGATAGGCTCGGCGCATCACACCTGTAATCCCATGGCAGTGGAATGTCGAGTCGGGCTGACAGTGAGATCACAGATTCGAGACGGGCCTCAACCAACATAGCACTACCGGCTTGCAATAAATCACATAAAAACCGAAAGAAATAAAGAAGCTTAGCCGGGCACAGAATGTCCTCGCTTCGGCAGCACCTACACTAAAATTGGGACTCTACATAGAAGCCCGAAAAGGCCTCAGTGCTAGCATGAAACTAGGCCTGCAAGGTACGGTGGCTCAGAGGTACCTGTCATATAGGCGCTTCAAAGACCACCCAAATGAAATTTCGAGGATGCATGTTAGAGACATGCCCGACAAATATGGAAAAAAAAAAACTTGGGCTAGGCTCAGCGCATCACACCTGTAATCCCATGAGAGTAAAATATTGAGCCGAGCAGACAGAGAGATCACCGGTTCGAGACGGGCCTCGACCGACACAGCGCCACTTGCTTGCTATAAACCACATAAAAACCAAGAGAAATAAAAAAGCTGAGCCGAGCAGGGCATGTGCTCGCTTCAGCAGCAAGTACACTAAAATTGAAACTCTACATAGAAGCCCGAAAAGACCTCAGCGCAAGGATGAAACGCTACGCAGTGTTCCATTTTCTCTTTATTCATTTAGTTTTGCCGTTGTAACTGTTTTGTACAAATCAAATACAGATACATTTTAGGTTCACAAAAATAAGCAGAAAGTTGTCTGTTGCAGGTAGTGTTGAAATATTCAACCACAGGTACTTGAAAGGCATCGACAGAATGGCCGATGGAACCCACTATACAGTTGTGGCAACAAGCCGAGATCACAGTGTTTCACTCCAGCCCGGGGGATAAAAGCAGTACGACATACAGAAAGGCGGGGTGGGGTTTGGAGCCACCTGGCACCCAGGTTTGTTCAGAGTGAGCACACAAATTTGTCTGATTTCTGTGATTTTCTTCTTCTACTTCTTTTTTTTTAAGTGAAGTGGGTTTTCACAGAGATGCCCAGGCTGACCCGGAACTCGTGAACTCAGGAGAACTGCCCACCTCGACCTCCCAAATGGCTAGGATAGCTGGTGTTACTCACAGTGCTGGGCAACGTCTCTCCGTTTTCTCTTGTAAACATGAAACGCGGCCGGTGGCCCACAGGAACCTGTCATTTAGGCGCTTTGAAGACCAGCGCAAAAAAAATTCTAGGATGCCTGTTGGAGACCCGCCCTACCGATATGGGAAATCTCCGTCTTCAGAATGGAAACAAGACTTGGGTTAGGCTCGGTGCATCACACCTGTAATCCCATGACAGTGGAATGTCGAGCTGAGCAAACAGTGAGATCACAGATGTCTCGACCGACACAGTGCTACCTGCTTGCTATAAACCACATAAAAACCGAAATAAATATAAAAGCTGAGCCGGGCACGGCATGTGCTCGCTTCGGCAGCACGTACACTAAAATTGGGGCTCTACATAGAAGCCTGAATAGACCTCAGAGCAAGGATGAAACGCTACACAGCGTTCCGTTTTCTATTTATTCATTTGGTCTTGTTGTTGTAACTGTTTTGTACAAATCAAATACAGAAAGATTTTATGTTCACAAAAATAAACAGAAAGTCGTCTGTTCCAGGTGGTATTGACATATTCAACCACAGTCACTTGTGAGGAATCGGCAGAATGGCGGCTGGAACCCACTACGCAGTTGTGGCAAAAAGCCGAGATCGCAGTGTTTCACTTTAGCCTGGGTGACAGTAGAAAAGCAGTACGTCATACAGAAAGGCAGGGTGGGTGTTGGAGCCACCTGGCATCTCGTTTGTTCAGATTGAGCACACCAATTTGTCTGATTGTGATTTTCTTTTTCTACTTTTTTTAAGTGAAGTAGGTTTTCACCCAGATGCCCAGGCTGACCCGGAACTCGTGACCCCAGGTTAACCGCCAGCCTCGACTTCCCAAATGGCTAGGATAGCTGGTGTTAGTCACAGTGCTGGGCAACGTCCCTCCGTTTTCTCTTGTTAACATGCAACTCGGCCTGCCAGGTATGGTGGCTCACAGAAACCTGTCATTTAGGTGCTTCAAAGACCAGCGCAACCAATATTTTGAGGATGGGTGTTTGAGACCCAACCGACCAATATGGGAAATCTTCGTCTTAAGAACGAAAACAAAACTTGGGTTAGGCTCAGCGCATCACACCTGTAATTCCGTGACAGTGGAAGGTTCAGCCAGTCGAACAGTGAAATCGCAAATTCGAGACTGGCCTCGACCGACACAGCACTACACGCCTGCTATAAGTCACATAAAAACAGAAAGAACTAAAAAAGCCGTGCCGGGCATGGCATGTGCTCTTGGCAGCACATACACTGAAATTGGGACTCTACATAGAACCCAAAAAAACCTCAGCTCAAGCATGAAACTCGGCCTGCCAGGTACGGTGACTCACAGGAACCTGTCATTCAGGCGCTTCGAAGACCAACGCAAAGAAAATTTTGAGGATGAGTGTTCGAGACCCGTCCAACCAACATGGGAATTTTCCGACTTCAGAATGAAAACAAAACTTGGGTTAGGCTAGATGCATCACACCTGTAA